TACATGCATGCAGATATATTGGAACATGATTATACCTAAAATTACATACTTTAAAGTTTACACACTGTTTACAAGCCAAGAATTGAGTTGAGCAAATAATTAACATTAAGGAATTGATTGTTCAGCATGCTGCAAGAGTTACGCGAGTACAAATCTAAAGAGTTTGACTAATTTGATTGAAATAATTTAGCATTTGATAAGCAATAAAAACACGAATTGAATAATTTAGCTACGCCTATGCCTAACGCAACATTTGAGCTATTGCCATGGATAGATGCATCCAGTTCACTTGCTGGCAAATTGAATGAGTCCATATTCGCCCGTGAGCATCCATTCCTTGTTCTTGGCAAACAATTGCTCGGATATGCCAGCGGGCAGTCCACATACCAAATCCGCTTTGATGGTGCGCAGTGTGCAAAGGTTTGAGGGCTGGAAGCCTGCAGAAGCAAAGATTAATTTGAAATTCATATTTAATGCCACTCAAAGTTCACTTACCGCGCAAACAGGTAACGAAGGATTCGGTGTCGTGCCAGCTGTAGTCGCCCAGCAGCTTGCGATAGTTGAGATCGCCTTTGAATATGATCAGCTGCGCCTGCGAGAGGCGTTCGTGCAGCGCCGGCTGCACTTCGGCCATGCGATAGAACTCATAGGGACTGGTCCAAAAGTGCTCCAGCGGTGCCAGCTCGAATTTGCCCTCGTCGACGAAACGTTTCAGCTTCTTGCCCAGCTCGCTGAGCACAGGCGACGCCTGGCCGCTGAGGAACTTCAGAATCCAGTGGAAATCATCGGCCCGCACATCGGATATGAACCAGGGAATGGCCTTGGCATTGAAGCGCACCTTTTGCGCCAATCCCTTGTCGATGATATACTCGGCCAGTATCAGATCTGTGTAGAGCTCATAGCCGGCATTATCGAAGACAATCTCCACGGTGCCATTGCCGTCGGCGCTGACCAGAGACTGCCAAATGGCCTGGGTGCCATCCACCAGCAAATTGCTATCCAGCTCTGCCACCTGATCGAAAGCATCTCCCATTGGCTTCACCTGTTTGCCAGACGTAATCGACAGATCGCAGCGATTGCCCCACAGGTTCAGCTTCAGCAACTGCTGAAACGTGCTCAAATTGCGTTCACTGCGCCGTGTGGCATTCGCAACGGCCACCATCGCATCCAGGCTGAGCTGTGCTGCCGTCTGCTTCTGTTTGCGAAAATAATCGAAGCCGGCGAGGCGCGATAAGCTGAAGATAGACCACAACTTACGATACATATAGCACTCGGCATAGAGCCAACAGGCGCTGAAGTAAGTGCGCTTATCCTTGTCCAATTTATCCAGAAATGCATTCCATGTAGCAACATCGGCCTCTGGAAGAGAAAGGGTTTCCATGAGTATATAGTATTTATATTTTTTATAAGTAAATTCATACGATTATATTTAAAGAATATGTATGTATAAAACTATAATTATAGCTGATTTTAAAGTGGAGCATGTTCCAGAAATATCTATCTAGAGATGAAGTTAAATATAAATGAACTGTAGTGGGGGATCAACATTTATAAAAATAAATATAGATTGTGTTGAAGAAATGGCGCATGTTCCAGAAATAGCTCTTCAGAAAGCATGGCCTCTTTATGATTCGTTAGTTGTATATTTATACAGGCTTACGAAAAATCTGTATATTCCACCTATTTGTCAATTAAATGATTGAGTGCCTTTTTATACCATACAAACTTATCGCGAGACCTACAAGACTTGTGCTCATTACATTATCATAAAAGAAAAGAAATGGCACACATATATATAAATTTTCCTCAATTTACTCTTAAGTGCATGGTCTGTTCTTCCATACCTGTATCATTAAATGGTTCTAACGGCCCGTTTTTCAGAATATTCGAACGCAGCTCAAGCACAGCTGCAGCTGTTTGATCAATATCTGAAGCTGCATCCTAAAAAAAAAGTAACATAGTTGTTTATTTGGGAATTATGTAATCTAACGCTAACTCACGGCTCCATATGTGGGCAGCAGCTCATCCTTGTTTGCCAGCGAATCGGCAATCGTGGCCAGCGTTGATGGAAGACGCACACGGAACGTGTAATAGGCGAAGCTCCTACAAGAGAGGGTCGCATTTAGAGGTCAGCCAATCAAATTACATCAGTGCTCCTCCATACATGCATATCATATGTATATACATATAGGTATGTATTCTACATACATATATATGCATATAATCATATGCGTATGGGAAATTTCGATATGCTATATATAGCGTTTACTTACCGCTTGTATTGGGCGGCTAGATCTGTGTGTGGAGGTGTTTCACTATCAATAATTCCATTTGCAGCATCGAAGTCAGCATTGTCTTCCACTAAGGCCATATTTATTGTTTGCTGCGTGCAACTTCCAATCAACAACAATGTAACTGCTACAAAGTACAACGTATTTATTTGTGTTGGCGCCTTGAATGTAGACAACATGAATGCAAGTTACTTTGGAAGTGAATCGCCAGAGATGGCTTAC